GGGGCCAACCTGACACTGCTGTTGCTCTTTCTGACCAACATTCAGTCAGTCCTGCTCTGCAGGACTGCTCCTTGATCTGTGCTCTGGCAAGCATCCCATAGCTAGATCTAGCAAGTGAAAAGAACATTTTTAAGATCCTGCAAAGCTGATAAAATATGACATTTTAAAAGGAGGTCATAAAAAATAATCTTCCATGTAGAAAGATTGTGAAAATTGACAGGCGGTCCCCTGGCACCGGCAGTGCTTCTCATGCAAGCCATGCAGACCTTTCAAGGTGCCGCTTGGACTGCTAAGGAAAAAACTGCACTACTTTAGAACAGATAAGATCAGGTACCATCAAATCTTCAAACCAAAAGATATTAAACAGTCACTGTAATGTGCATCTGGGGTTTACTCGGGCTTTTTTCTGTTTTGGTGGTTTCTGTGGCAGTGAGGGTGGGGTTGCACATGCAAAGACTGCAAGGAACAGAAACGCATATGAAAGTTGCTTTTAAAAGCAAGTGTGCTGTTATCTGTCCTCAGGCACTCCAAAGCCTCCACAGGTTCTGAATATACCTACGTTCACAAATATTTCATGTGGGCAAGGGGATGAAAGTACCGCAGTGTAAATCCCAATGAAATATGCAGCTCACCCCAAGTTGCAGTACCACAAAAGCACAAAAAAAACCAACCCCAACCTATTATAGGTTTTACTTCATGTCATCAGTGAGATAATGCAGGGACATGATTTGATTCTGAGAACAAACCGGTGCTGTCTGACTCATCCTTGATCAGCTGAATTACCTATGCCTGGCAGCATCCGAGGGGCAGCATTCAGGAAAACCCTGACCACAGCAGGAAGACAGCATCCCTGGGCTCACTGTTCATCACACTGCTCACTGCAGGCACCTTTCAGCATGGCCCAATAGTAAAACAGCATCTTCCATCAAGTACAGGGAAACCAAGAGGATTTTGCATTCTCATCTGCCTCGCTGGGATTTCTCACCCTGCCCAGAGGGCACAATGGATCCATGGGAGAAGGGCAGAGCAGAGCAGCACCGGAGGCTCTCTTCATTTTCTGGATGAGTAACAATAAGGGATGAATGTTTACAGAGTGTCAGGAGATCCTGGGAAAGAGCAGCATGAGCAGCAGGAAGGACAGCATATATAAACAGTACCAGGACAAAATCAGGAAACTTATTTCACAACTTCACTGAAAGCCATTTTTTGCTAAGTAACCAATTTCCTTGCACTCTTTGTTAAATAAAATATGAAGGGCAGGCAGGGACGTAAAATATACATGCGTGCACTTACATAAGCAGTAGGCCCTGTTGTTGTAGGTGCTGCACAAATTGTTGATGACAATGGGATGCATGTCCCCTGATGGAGGGCACAAACCTCAGGGTCAGTCAGCAAGCAAGGAAGTTTCATACCAGCAACTGGTACATCCTGATTCATCTTGGTGATCCACATTGAAACGGACACTACAATTAACAGAAATCTCTCTGCTCTGTGTATTACCCAGTCAGGCCAAACTGCTGAAAGGCAGAACCAAGCCTCAAGACAAATGTCAAGTGATGGAGGATTTGTCCTAGATCACTGATGTTACTTTCATTACTTTTTTTTTTTTAAAGCAGAAGACTGACAAATAATACAATGCTCATGTTTACAGTGCACATTTTCTTCCCCGTCTTGCTCTTCCAAAATCTGATTCCAATTTTGCTGATTCCTCCAAGTTCAGTCATGAAAATTAACTGCATTCCTACTTGCAAACAACCTTTCACCTACAAAATTATAACATGGGGTAAAGTATTTTCACATTATCCTCTTACTCCCCCCCCATATTTGAATGAAGGCTGTGCTATACTGTCCCAGCAGCTTTTCTGCAGCAAGACATCCAAAGGTCCAAGACAGCAGTGTGTAGGTCTTTAGGGGACCCCACACTACTCCTTTCTTCCATACAGGACTACAAAGCATAACAGGTTCCTGCTGCAGCTCCAGAACTAGCAGCTCTGCCCTGAGCCACGCGTCAGCTTGCAGCTGCCTCCTCCCTAATTACTCAGAGGCTCAACAGAACCAAAGTCGTCTTCATACCCTGAGTGACTTCTGAGTATAAGCTTTCAGATGGAGTGGAAAAAAATAATCCTTCTGTTTACCTGAGTTAAAAGGGACTTGTAGACAGGAGTACCTTCTTATTTCAAAACACTTTTCACAGCTCTACGTAAAGCCACATTTATTGATACAGACTCATGATGCATGTTTGACGGCTGGACTAGATGATCTTAGAGGTCTTTTCCAACCTCAACAATTCTGTGATTCATCAGAAGAGTAAGCTGAACTGCATTACACCAGAATCTAACAAAAATAGAAAGAAAGGCAGTATTCATCCCAAACCAAGACCTAGACGAAAACAGCGGGTGCTCATGCTCTCTGGAGCTTCTTATTTCCTAATTTTTCCTCTAACGAGCAGCAGCACCCTCTCTCTCTCCCCTCCTTTTCCCACTCTCCCGCAGTTCTCTGTAAGCCCTGCCTACCTCTTCTTCCTTTCCCTCCTTCAAAGGAAGGAGACCCAACCTGAGAGGATCAGGAGGACTGTAAACAAATGATGGCCGTGTTCAGCAGTGATCTCTGGCCGCTGAAATGAAAGGCACAGCAGGCTCTGTAATCACTCAAAATAAACTCCTCTGACAGCAGCTCCTGTGCTGACCGCCCGGTTATGCCTCTGCAGACTGTTACAGAACATTAAGCATTAACAAAACTTTTTCCCCATATAAATCTCATTTGGTAACAGGGCTTTCAGTCTAACTGAATTATTGGATCCATTCTTTTGCCACCCTTCTCTCACAAGCTGCAAAAACCAGGCCGCCGCACAGCGTGACAAAAACTTGCAAATAGTCCCTTTGCTAAATAGCTGTAAGTTGATTAGATGGGGAAGATAATCCTACCATTGAAAAATATTTATGGTTTAAGAGAGGGTTGTTTATGTAAGTTTAGTAGCTCAGAGATCAAAACAGGCACAAAGTTTTCTGCTGGCTGAGGGATTACTCCGGCCTCCTGGAACAGCTTTTGTTCCTCCAATACGCAGCCCCATGCAAACAGCTGTAGCTTCAGAACACATAAGCTGTGCAAGGAGATCCCTGAAAACAAAGAAATCTTAATGCAGCTGAAAGTTGCTTTGAGTTCTCATTTTGAATTTGCAGTAGAGTATTTGCACCTCCTAGCTTCAGTGCTTCCCAGAAGCAGATGCCCTCCTTTTCTGAAGCAACTCCCCACTCTCTCTCTGCAGCTGTACTAACACAAAATACAGTTCCTTGAGGCTTGCTCAAATCAGATCTTTGTTATTCTACCCAAAGTACTGCAAGGGACCCACATGCAGAAGGCTGAACAATGCCAGGGCCTTACCGCGGATTCAGGTAGGGTGTGACAAGCTTAGAACAGACAAACAAAAGGCCCCAAAAAACTTCTCAAATTAAAAGGAAAAAATAATTAAGATACAAACGGAGTTAGAAATGATATGGGGAAAAAAAAAAAAAAAAAAAGACTAGGAAATCAAAATCAAAGATGCATCAAAACAAGTGGTCTTCCTAGGAAGTCTTCATCGTAGCTCCTTAGCACTCACTAGCCACAAAGCATTAGATTCCCCAGTATAAATAAACTGTGTTGAACCGAGTTAAACCTCACAGTTTCTAAAAATTAAATCTAACAACACTGCCATCTTTACTGATGAAAAATCTACTTGCCCTGCTAAAGAGATCTTTTTAACAGATCCTTTGTACTGCTGGTTACAAGAAGCTGCCCACTACCAAGGAATAAAGCATCCTGAAGCATTTTGAGGCTGAAACTGAGTAAAACTAGCTTCTTGAATGAAGAGCTCTCATCCAAAGGTTGGAAAGAGGAACTCCAGTTGTTAGAATTCACTTGAGATCACAGAATTTTACTTGGTACAGAATTTCACTGAGTTCTAGACAGGTTTTTCCCTACAGCCATACACACACAACCTCCTAAAAAGAATAAATGCTGTTTGTCTCCAAGCTGTTTGTCCAGGCAAAGTGTTACATTGCAGGATTTCCGGACTAAGAATTATATCATTAACATTACCAAGATGTGCTGAACTAAATGCTGTTTTTCCTCCATGCCCCACACAGAAAGACAGCACCTGGTGCATCACACTTGCTGTACCAAGCATCTGGAATGCCCGTGTGTATTCCCTCTTATTTTAGTGCCTAATAGGACGTTTCACTGGTTATTGGGAGAGCTATAACATTGGGAACTCTGCTGAACCAAAAAGCAGCTTGAGAAATCCCACTGTTCTTGAGGCTGACCAACACAAGCTAAAAAAAACCCCAACCAACCACCACCACCAAAACACCAACCCACAAAGAACTATGACAAAAAAAAAAAAAAAAAAAAAAAAAAGAATCAGAAAACAAACTTAACAAACTTTCTAGCAAAGAAAACTGTGGATTTCTTCAACTGGCTTTTGTCCGTATTTTAGAAAGGCTACAGAAAATATACGCTAAGTTACAAGGACTAGTGGTAAGTACAAAGACTAGACAGAAAGAGAGTGAAGAGCTGCTGACAGGACGCCATATAATGGAAGCTTTCTAAAACCAGTTCTTAAGAAGTACGCAGCCCACAATGCACACAATATATTCACCATTGGAAGCCTGTTGCCAGCTTCCTCCTAACATTTCACATGCCTATTGCACGCTGAAGTCTCTTACAAATGTATACTACCATATTCAGGCAGAACACATTCAGTAAGTGAAAGTAAGGCTCCAGTACTTTTCAGATGTTTTCCAAACTCCTCCAATAAACCCTCCCCATCGACTATGAGAATATGAGCACTACAAACAGCAAAGTCAATCTCCTTATAACTTTGTACTCAAATTACACAGACCGACATGAAAGCTAAAGGAGCCACAGCTAGAAACAGCCACACGCACGCTGCAGCTGCTCTCACCCCAAGCTGAGCATGCTGAGAGCCAACAACACCAACACCAAGCGTTTGAGATGCTCACCTGAATGCAGCTCTGCACACCTCAGATTACCTGCTCCAGAGGAGTTCAACTATCTACTTGCCGGCACTCAGATCCCCTCCCCTCCGGCCCTACATCCCCACCCTTCTCTCCGGTGTGACCGCATGGTGGAAAACTCCTATTTTCCTGGCTGGGCTTTCTGCTGGGTGAGGCAGCCAAACCAGCTGCGCAGTCACACAAGCACAAGCAAGTCCTTCCCCTTTCGGTGGCGGCAGCGAGTCATCAGAGCAGCTCAGCTGCGTGTCGAAACCGTACCTTGAGTTTCCTAATCTCCCTTTCTATTTTTAACTGGAGTCATTCCCCCCCTTCCCTGCCATGCAGGCAGCTGCAGAGAGCAGCTGGTGACAACGGAGCACTCCATCAGGCCATTTTTCCTGGAAAATGCCATCTACAGCCCTACAGCAAGTGCACGAGGAGCAGCTGATCTGCTCTCCAGTGCTCTCCTGTACCTACAACTCGATAGCTGAAACTGGGCTCTCTTCCCTCTCTTTGTCCTTCAGGTCTTGTGTCCAGGACAGCTGAGCATCGCTTCCAGCTATCCAGAGGACTGCTGCTCTCCTGCCACAGCTCATGTAAAGCAGCTGAAGTCCCAGACAGCACCTCTTATCCCTACAACATCCAAGGAGAAAGGCACAGAGGTACTGGAGAAGCAGCTTGCAGGACAGCCAGCCCCTCACTCAGCTGCAGGAGAATCTGACAGAAGCGGGATGCAGGGCTCCAGGTCCCACTGACCACTCGAAGGTTTGAGCTCATCTCCTCCACGTGCCCCAGTATTAGGTGTACATAACAAACCCTGAATTCTCTCTTCGCACAGCGGAGCAGCTTTAAAATGCGAGGCTTTACAGGACAGTGCACAGCCACTGTAAAGTCAGCCAAGCAAGGAGGGCACTTTCCTACATGGCCAGAGTTGTTCTGAACCTCTGCGGGGATGCAGAGCACAGACTGTGCAGGGCACCCAGCCACGAAGCTGGGCTCTCGGAGTCTTAGTAGCACACGCTTCCAGGAGAGAAGTGGAAAGCAGGCAGGTCAGTCACCTAAGGAGGCCTGGCTGAGAGCTCAGCATCTCAAAGAGCACAACTTGATGAGGGCAAGCTAAAACACTGATTCTGGCTCAGGGCTGCACAGCTTCAGCCTTGTATGCTTTTGGACATGGGTAGCTGGAACAGTTTAAGTCCTTTCTGAACTAAGACCTTTTTCTTTCATCCTAACAGCCACAAACACGGAAAATGAAGCTACTTTTATTCTTCTTCCTATAACATGTTTTTGTGTTACCTACAGTACAAATTATTTGAACAAAAGAAGCTTATTGGAAATGTCACTGATAGAATTTAACGCACATTCAGACAGGACAAACAGATAAGAAGTATCAAAACACTGGAGAAAGCCCTTCCTTAAATGCCTGCAAACCCTGGTGTGGATTAAAGCATGGCAAGGCGCAGCACCCAGACAGCTCAAACCGGCAGATTCAATCCACCTGGATTCTAGGAAACAAAGCCACCAATCAAATCAGCCCATCAGCCATTAACTCATTTAAAATTAAGCTTTTCTACTGAGTCACAGTACTTGTGGGCAGCTGAGTAATGCTGCTGTGGCAAAAGGTGATGGGACGCAGCGGGTGCTCCGTGGCTGCTGCTGCCCGAGGAGCGAAGCCTCGTGGTGAGCAGCCCGGCCGGGAGATCTGAGAACTGCTCCCTGCTACCCAGACAGCAGCAGCCCACAAGGACGCACTGCACTCACTGCTGTGTGACAGCTACGCATCTTTATCGCTGTTTGCTGCAAAAACCCTTCCTGGCCTCCAGTTGCTTCAACAAACAGAGGTAGGACACTGATTTCCCCATCCGCCCAAGCTGCTGCAGAACATTTCTTGGTTTTTCATACAACATACAAATGTTACTTACCTATAGTTCTTCCATCACAACAGCAAAACGTAAGTGAATTCCACTGAAAGCTTGGCTTTCCCCCTCTGCCTTACCTTCCTGATCCAGTTTGAAGTAAGGCCTGTGTGCCTTGGCACAGGGAAGGAGGTTCCCTCCTGTTCCCAACCCACTGGACTCTGTTGCTTTCCCAACCAGAACAGAATGCACGCCAGCAACAAAACCCATGCTAAACAAAGACCTGCAGATCACTTTGCTTCTTACCTCCTGGAAGAGGGGAATTTTAGGGGAGAAGAACCTCTCTAGCGGTGTTTGCAGGCACTCAGACCTCGTGTTAATGATTTACCCAGTTGTGCTGGATATGTGGTTTATTGTTATCTGCCTTCCTGCCTCAATCTGCATAACCAAATCAACAGGCACATGAAGAAGGGACTTTAAACAGAGGTGAATGCCTCAGAACTCACTTATCCCATCCTAGTTTAAAAATACATTCCATTTATGTGTGTATGTGTGTGTGTGTACATATACACACATACACACAAAAAAATCAATGCCTGGAGGTCTCCTCAGTGTGGGTAAACATATGTCTGTATGCAAACCAACATCTCACTGATAGATCTGCCCAACCTCATCCCACTTCCACAGAGAGATTCCGGAGCAGAATTACCTGCAGATGTCTTCAGTGTCACTCAGCATTAATCCTGTGAACTCTTCCCACTGAGCACATAGATGAAAAATTTCAGGACTAATTACATGGCACACTACAGGCCACGGATTCCTTGTTGCACAAATGACACCATGTCTACCTGGGTCAATACATAACAACAGGGCAGAGGACATCAGCCAACTTAATAAATCACTTCTGACAAGAAATGCATTCAGATTTGATCAAAACGTTCCTGCTTGCTCCCATAGGTCTTATCTTTATGCTGTATTTTCCCAGCCACCTCTGGCTGTGTGGGTTCAGAGACTGGAAGGCACGGAGCGCAGCCAGCCTTGTTCTCCATGGCTGAGGTGGGGCTAAGAGGAGGGCAGCTTGACGATTGCAGGTAATTAGGAGTGAGCTTTTGGAACACCTTCTAAACACGTTTAATCATTATGCATTTAAATATTGCATGTGTCCAGGTAGATACAGCCCTAAACAAATTAAAAGAAATATGCTTAATGAACTTTTCCAAAGTACCTGCAAAGCTTTTTTGTTGTTGTTTAGTTGTCATTTTTCCCTTTCCTACAGACTTTGGCCAGGACATACTCAGACAAAGGGCTACCAGGGAGGACAGCCTGAAGTGGTTACATCATTTTCCTTCCAAAGGATGGAACATCTTGGAGTTGTGCTTCCTGTTAAGCGGCAGTTGCTTTGCTTCACATCTACCTTCCCAAGCACTGCTGTGGATGATGATCACCACAAAAATGCCTGAAGTCAGCCACAGAGTGTGTGCCTGTTTGTCCCTAATCAGGAGATGAGCTATGTGACAGAATGCTAGATCTGAGGATGATTGCACTTCAAAGAAATAGCTAGTACCGAGCTTCAGCACAAATGTTTCTTTATAGCTCCAGCAGCAGTGACACTGGCTGGAGAGCATCCTTCCTGAAGCCTGGCTGGGGAAGGGCCTTACTTGCCCTGGCATCTTAAATCTGCCTAAGTACTAAAAGCAAAAGGTCACAGCAAGTAGATTATATTGGGTCACCTCCTTCCTCATGCTTATCAGGAAGGAAGGTGGGAAGTAAAGTCTAGTGGAAGTAACAGGTCATACCACTTACAGCAAGGTGACCCAACCCAAGTCCCAGGCACAACAACACAGACAAAGGAAAACAGTGGCATGGCTTTGATGATCACTCCCCAACTTGATATACCAGGAACTTTAAGCTTTTCTGCAGGCATGGCACTTGCAGGTGACAACACTGTCTCCAGCTGAGCCATTGGCTTGGCCAGGAAACCAAAAGCAGAGAGCTGTAAAAGTGGTTCTCTATAAAAAGAGGGAAGAATGCCCATGAAGCCGAACTCAGTGAAGAGGTCAACAAAAACAAAATTTAACAGCAGCTGGTAAAGAAGAAGTAGCTTAGAGGTGAGAGAAGTCAGTTTTTAAAGGGCTTCCCCTTAAATTACTAAGCAGCACTCCTTGCAAAGCAGGCTTTAATGAAGCAGCTACACTCCTGCCTTTTCAGGACGCATTTTACGGGGCCAACACAAAGGCACGCTTCTTGCTGGATACCAAGGATCACCACCAGCACAATGCAAAAGCAGGTATGAGCTCAGGCTGGTTCTGTATTTCTAGGATCATCATCTACCAGAGAGGTCCCATTCAGACTGCTACACATGAGCAACATAAATCCCCACATTCACCGCTCGTATCTCACAGAGAAAGTATCCTAAAAACCTTTTAAGCATTGTTTTTTTTGCTTTAAGTTATCTGATTCTGGTCACTGATTTGCAACAAACCAGCAAAAATATGCCACAAGACCATAAAGAAATTAATCACCGTTTGCTTTAAAACACTGCATTCAACAACAAGTTTCAGGACATATTTTTAAACACTTTGAAATATATAGCCCATTTTCTTTAGCGTGAAGATTTTTGGTCTTAAACCATAATACAACTGCCCGATCATTTGAAAGGAAACATCTTTTACTGTATTGATTACTGTTTGCTATGAGCAAACTACTCCTTCTCTTAGCATTCAGTGCCATCATATGCCAAACAAGCCAATACCAGTGGGAAACTGCTGCCTATTACTCTGCTTCAACATTTCATCCCCAAATCTAGTGACCTAGTTTATAGTAAACCCTCTGTGCAATCTGTAGCACAGATCTCTCCAGAGATGCTGTGAATGCAACAAACCCCATCTCCTCAAGCTTATTACTTCTAGCTCCAAGGTGGGTTTTTAAATCACTTTTCCTAAGCTGAAATGCCTTTTTAAAGCAAACACGAAGCTGAGAATATTGGTAAGTTTCAAACAGCTCTGAACGATTGTTCAGTGCTCTCAGCTCTGTGACCCAGAAGTGAAACTCTTCTTATTAATGAGGTAAAAACCCACATCTCTAAAACAAAGCTGTTCTGGCCACCACTGTTCTACCCTTCTGAGGGGTTTCAGCTAGCAGATGTGTATATTCCTCCTGTATATAACATGATCTTAAACAGGCTAGTAGGTAAAAAGACAAGTGCAGTGGACCACCAGAAGAAAAAAAAAAAATCCTATCATTTTTCCTAACCAGTTTAAAGAGGAAAATCCAAAACTGCTTCATCTGTATTACAGCATTAACAGCCATTACCACTTCTATGAGCAAAACAGTTAAGAGAGGACATTTACTTTTGAAACAGAACAAAGCTCATCAAATATACCCTAATTGGGTTCTGACATACACTGGAAGCATTAATGAATACCTTGTAGAATTGCCAGTCCATTTTTCAAACAAACGTCCATAAGTGCCTGGTTAAGCATTTAGCTGTATCCAACACAAAGGGTGACTCCGGAGGTCCATGAAACACTCATCAGCTCCAGCAACTGCGCTTCCAGAGAGGAATGCTGTGTCATACAACGTGTGACTCACAGAGCAATGTCTGGAGGAAACCACACTCTTGTTTCTCTCTCTATAAAAAACTCAACTTGCTTTTAAGTTGAACCACATTACCTGAACAGAAATCTTTCTGCCAACAGAAAAGCTAATTTCAGCTTGCTGGAACACGTGTGCAAGACCGACGATGTACTTTAAAATCACAGCGAAAATGACGGTGACACAGCCCGCCACCAAACCAGAGTCACCGGCAAGATCAGCTGAAAGCTTCCCCTGCTGCTCCTCCTCCAGGGGGGCACTAGGGAAATACGCTGTGCTGCTGTATTTCAACACGTGGCTGTACTCTGACCCCACACCAGTTTTGCAATCCCTAACACCCTGGCCGTCCCAGGGCAGCTCCCCAGCCTCTCCCTCCTGTCTGACCCTGCACACGGTCATGGGACTCTACTGAGCTGCAATGGCTCAGAGGGATTGCAAGCACCCATGCTCCCTGGGTTCTCGCTGTGACAGAGCTGTAAAAAGCTCAGCGGAAACACCAGGGCAGTCCCCACAAACCTGAAGGTTTTCCAGGCCACAAGACCTTTCGCTGCAGATAAACGAGAGCGCTGCCAGCAGTGCAAGCAGCCTGAATTTCACTGCAGCCTCATCTCACTGGAAGCGTCTTTGTGAACGTGCTCGTCCCACGTGTTGTGGGCTGAGTACGTCCTGCTGCCATTCCTGTGAAACGCCACAGCTGTTGTCCTTGGGATCACCAGCAAAACACCTGCATTGCCTCAACAGGGACTCTGGGATGGCACAGGGGAGTGTAACTCCTCAGAAAATACCAGGGTGGCACAGCGTGTTACTGCCATCCATTCACACAGGACATGTGCAGTGAGACAGCCAGATCAAAGCAAGCGTTTAACGCCACTGTGATCACACATTAACTTAGAAGAAGGAAGCTTTCAATAACAGCAACAAAGAACAAGCTGCTCTTTTCAAACTCAGCCAGTGGGACACTTGTCACATGGCAGGGAGCTTTCCACGTGTGACTCCATCCCACATCCACACCTACAGCTCCCAGCCTGCCAAGTGCCACTCCTATTCTCGAGCCACTTATTTGACTTCTGAGAAATCCCATTATGCAGGTGTGTCCAAATGACCCGACTGAAGAAGTCACCACAGGGGAATGTCAGTTTGGTTTAGTTGTTCCAAAACCAAAACCTCAACCCAAATGTCTCTGTTATAGGCACCTAACAGTTCATTTCTTCAAAATACCGTAATGGGACACACTGATCTTTCCATTAAAGAGTTAATTCCTTTGTTATCTGCCCCACATCTCACTACGACCCTGCAGGTTCTGTATACCAGCAGTTTAGGACATAGCAGGTGCTCTGGCTTCTGTAAAGCCTTTGACAGAACAAGCTGTGTTTGCCTTAATCAGAAACACGGCACGTAAGGACGGAAGGCAGTGCTGCCATCCAGGAGCAATAAAGAACCTTTCCAAAAAGCGGCCTCACTGATCTGAGGCAAGGCTGGCTGAATATAGCAAATCACTGATTTATTATGCATAAACAGAGCCAAAATGGCCATACTTGGAGCTTACGCACGGCACTGCAAAGCAAACATTCTTCCTTTTAGAAAATGCTGCAGTTCATACTGAACACACATCTCACTAATGCACAGCACTGCTGGCTCACAGGCCTGCCCAGCAATCCCTGTTTTAAAACAGTGAGATCTGAAATTGTTAATGCTGGTTTCTATGCAAAGAAGGGGCAGAGAAGTGAGACAAACATTTTGTTTCCTCAGATTTCCTCTATCCTTCAGCAGCAGCACGCCTTCCTGCAAATGCCAACTGCAGGCTTTGCAGACACTCTCTTACCATCCAGAGGAGTTTCTTATTAACCTAGAACACCTGAAAGCACTTCCCAGTAGAAGGGAAATTAACAACTTTTTTTAAAAAAGCAAGAGTTAATATGTGCCTGTTTTGTGCCAGAGGTCAGCAACAGGATTTCTGCCTGTGGAAAAGGCTTTACCCCATCAATGATAAACCAGCTCAGCCTCACATCCTGAGCACTGTTTGCATACCATGAGAGTTGCACTGAATGCAAATTGGAGAGAAATCCAGTTCCTTAGCCTGCAAAACATTTGTGCGGTGTGTCAGCAGGGTGGTTAGGTGGGTTAAACGCCCCTAAGCACACAACTGCTGCTCCCACAGTGAGCACCCTGTCCTCTCCATCAGGCCCAGGCGGCAGATCCTAGGGCTGTGCACCTCCTTCAAAGACTCTGAAGACAGAGACAGCTTCAATTATCCGCTTCCGCCATCCTAAGGGCAGGGGGAACACCAGCAGAGAAGCGATAAGGAGCCATCTGCAGCACGGCCGGGCGTTACGCATCCCGAGGCAGCGCAGTGGGCACTATCAGTGCCTCACAGGAGGGAGCTGTGCAACATCATCACCTAACACGTGTCCTTTTGGGCTGATCCGGTGAACGAGCATCGATAAGCAGATGGAATGGAGCTCGGCGATCCTGAGGCACTCACTGCAGAAGGATGAGAAGGTCCTGTGTGTACACAGCCCTTCCTGCTCCTCCCCAGGAAGGGCAAACACACGGCAGTGCAGCAGCGCAGGCTACTTCTGGAACAGCTCAAAACGTGGCCATACTGGCGGCTCTGCCAATTGCTAGAGTGAGATAAAAGCATTCCTGCTTCCTATTTCTGTACGTTGGCCTGCTCTATCTTGTTTTTATAGCCCTGACTGCTGTGATGCAGACAAGAAATGCAGAAGGACAAAGATCAAAGTGCTGGGTGCTTAGCGCGGCCTCTGTGCTCCCAGCACCAGGGACGTCAGCAGGACACGACCCTACCGGGGGAGCGTGTAATGCTTCCTGTGGGAAGCACTGCTGTGAAGCACAGGGTACAGGCAAGCATGGAAAACAGTGGAGATTCTAACACAGCAAAAGTTATGAAATGTCAGCCATGCTTTATTTCAATCTGACTGCTTAAAGCTGGCTAAAACTACTGGGAGACACTATTACCACACAGATTCCCAAACTAACTAGCCCCATCACCCATGGCTGCTTCACAGGGAAGCATTCACCACAGTCTCCTCTGAGACCTCCAAATGGGACCTCTAGCTCTTGACAGGTTTTCCCTCTGGGGAAGGTACTTACAGATCAGGCTGCCATTTGCTCTAGTCCCATTTCCTCCATGGAACATACAAGTATCAATTCTGCAGAAACATCACTACCTAGTCCTTCCACCACCACCACTGATATATCCCACAAAAAATTCAGCATTTACCAGGATTCCAAATCATTCTATTTCTTATATGCGTTACTACAAGCACCAGACTTTGTGTCTAACTACAATGCTGGGCACTAAGCTGAGCAGGGTTAGTCATCCTGCTCCTACCAAGGCCAAGGCTCAGCAGCTTCGACCCCAAAGAGGAAAATACACCACAGACAGAAAGAGAAAACTGTATTTTTTGGCACATTTTGAGTTTTACTAAGTGCTGCATCAATTTCTAAATGTTAGGGAGCTGGGAATTCAAGAAGGATGAACGTGCACAGATTTCATTTGCAAGTATCAGGTTTCAGTTCAACTTCTCATCCTTAATATAGTTAGCTTTAACGACCAAGAATATGTTGACAGCCTGTGTGCAGCCCTACTAAAGAAACTGCTAGTTCTCTCAATATTAACAAAACAAATATACTACACTGTATACACGGAACAATGATCGCTAAATTAAGTTATGGTCAAATATCTTAAATCTTTTTCTCTTTGCATGGTGGCACTTGTGTTGACTTTTTTTTCTTTAATGTGACACCAGTCAGAAAGGTTTCCTTTCTACATTCATACCTTCCAAACATTTACCAGATCATTTCTATGCCTCTGTGCCTGAGAGCAAACCACCATGCCATTCTGATCTCAGTATTATC